ACATACGTGAAAAACATGCTCAGTTCAAGTACTACTTCCCTTGATTCAACAAGTTTGCGTGAAAATTTAATAATCTCCTGTTTTTAATTAGAAGATCGGCCGAAAATTGTTTAACGAAACGGATATATTAAATATACGTTTTATATAATAACTTCAAGTATTTTTTAAGTATACCGTTATAGTAAATTATTTTATTAATATTTATTAATATTTATAATCATATTAATATTTCAAAAAATTTTACATTTAAACTATTAGTGATAGTTTTATTTTGACTTTAAATGCAACTTTTAATTACAATTATTATTCAAAGTGAGCTGTCAAGGATTATGTAACAAATTTGTTTGTATTCAAATAATAATGCCATTATAATCTTTGTGACTGAAATAGATAATCTAAAAACATTTTGTGTTTTTCACTATATTTTCGAGAGTGATAACGGCAATTGCAAGAATGAATCTACAATTAAAAGTGCAAAAAGATGTTCTTCTTTTGGTAATCAATTATTTGTACACATTTTATTATTTAATAATAAGAAGGAAGGTAATAAATAATATAATTAATGTGGTTCACAATAAAATTTTTATGAAATAAATTTTGAAAATTTATTTCATAAAAAAATTCATAAAAAATTTTTGAGTGTTTAGACTTCTAAAACTTTAAATAAGAAAAAGCATACCGTTGGTTGTAATATAATAAAACTAAAAGGTATAATATTATATTTAACGTCTAATTTCTGCGTATTTAATCTTTCGCAGTTTCTTTACACTATTGTTTGCAACTTGGTGTTAATTAGTGCAGGAGCTACTGTAGGGTATTCCTCCGTAGTGCTTCCTATACTAACGGATAACACATCTATAACGGATAATACAATAACTTTAAACACAATGGAATCATCTTTATTCGGTATTTGTTAAAAAAATTAAATATTATTTGCCTCTATTATTCTTTGCCATTATATTTTTATAAATAACGTTCCAGTTAGAAAACATTTCATAACTTTAAATCGATTGAACAATAATTTGGCGAATATATAATTGTTCCCAATTTAAATATTGATTATTAAAGTTATTGTGAAAATATAAATTGGATTAAAAGTGGTATAAAACATCAATACCTGCTCTTTTTTAATAAAGTATTGAAAAATATTGCTCGCAAAATCTATTTCCACATAATACTGGAACAATTTTTATCTATATTATCTATCTATATTATCTATATTATCTATATTAATAGTATCTATATTATCTATCATCATAACAATTGGTTGCTTCCTAAGCATTATTATGATGAATTATGGGAGACGACGTACAATGATAGTGTGCGGTGTTATCTTTTCTTTGGGATGGATCTTGATGGCGACTAGTTATAATGTAATACAACTCTTTGTCGGTAGGATACTAACAGGTGAGCAATTCGCCAAATCAAAAGCAAATTTTTTTTCTTAATTCATGATACATGTTCACATGGTTCTTACTAATTGCGATGCCTGAACAAAAAAAGTATTTTTTATTAAATACTTAAAAAGTATAAGAATTGAATTGCAACATTAGTTTGCAAAATTATTAATTAAATAATTATTGTATATAATATAAATAAAAAATAAGTAAATCGTGAATTAGTGCAAAATTACATTCCGAAAAATTATGCCTGTCGGGAATTTATTACTCAAATTATTATTATTAATTGTAAAATAATTATTTATAAAATAACGGTACATTTTCCGCGTACAATTGTTGTGCTTTTGAAAAATATTTGTTAATTAATTGATTTATTAATATGAGTACAAAGTATACAAGCGCGTATTTTGTTGACGTTTTATTTATTGATGAGAAACGGGATCTTCTTAAAACTGGTTGATTATTTTATGACGAAACAAACGTAAACATTCATTTATAAGGATTACTTTTAAAAATTTGTAGGATTTGGCTATGGTTTATGCACAACTTCCGTTGGAATTTATTTGGCAGAAATTTCTATACCTTCATGGAGGGAAGTCATTACGGTTACTCCGAATGTAGCTCTTACCATCGGAATTCTAGTCGTTTACCTTCTAGGGTATGTCATAGAGGTAAGGCATTATGTTGATTTTTTATTATAAGAGAATAAGATCATTAAGATCATTGATAATAAGACGAAATTTAAATTAAATACATCACATTTTATGTAATACAAAATTTTATTTGGTTATTTAAATCGATTTTTTAATCTTACCATTAATATAACAATTTATCAGACGTAATAAAGCGCAATGCCTAATGCAGGCCGATACGAATGTGGTGCGTATATAATAATTTTATTGTTACAATATTCTGCAGTCACACACAACTGCGCGTTCCACTTTCTGTCGGTCTTAAAACATAGTTTTTTACATGAAATCGGATTATACTGTAAATAAATTAACAAGCAATTTAATATTTTTGCTAACAGCATTTTCTTATAAGAATTCCTTTCCTCCAAAACAAAAAAATATATGTATATGCATAAAAATTTATATTTAGGTTTTATTTAAGACGTGTTTATTATTTCAGAATAATTGGAGATTGATGGCAGCTGTTTTCAGCATTCCTTCGATATTATTTGTGCTATGCAATATCTTTTTTATCTGCGAGAGTCCTGAGTGGTTGCTTTTAAAGGGCCAAAAGGAGAAAGCTAAGATCGCTCTACTTCGTATTCGCGGTTTGCATCAGGAAACGATTGAGTTCCAAGAAGAGTTTTCTAAAATGGTGAACTATATTGAGCTGTCAATATCTCAAAATTGTCAAATAGATTCCTCATCAACTAAAGAATTCGGATGGAGATCGTTTCTTAATCGTAACGTGTGGGGCATGCTGACGAAAATCCGAAGAATGATCGTTTTACCAGAAGTGTGGAAGCCTTTTGTGATACTAAATCTTTATTTACTTTTTCAAAAGTTTTGTGGGCTGTACGTGATTATATATTACACCGTCGATATTATTACCAGGCTCAAAATCACAATAGACCCCTTCCTCATCACCGTCATAGTAGGGACAATCCAAGTGATAGGCAACATGATTGCTGCATGCTTCAGCAAGAGGTATTTATTTTTGTTCGCTCTATATTCCGCAATCAAATACAATATAAATTATTATACATATATATCAATGCAATACATCTACACATAAAACATAAAAAATCAATATTAATTTCCTCAAGAATTGTTAATAATCTATGACAAATCGATAATCATTCTATTAGGATTACTAATCAGCCCAAATTTATTATCCATATTTGATCGCTTTAAAGAGCTGCTGTGATATTTTTTATATCAAGACTTTTATTGAGATTTATCTATACCGCGCTATTAAAACGCTTGTCACACTCGTTATAATATATTGTTTGATATATTTTATATTATAATGTGTATAGTAATGTTTTGTAAGATACTTCTATCATTTTGAAATTCCACTAGAATCGGTCGTCGAATAATTTCTATTGTGTCCGGTACTGGTATATCTATCTCTTTGGGCGCATTAGCAATCTACCTGCAATTTTTTGAGACTACTGGCATTACGGTTGTTCCCCTCGTTTGCTTTCTCTTATATGTGGTAAGAAAATATTATTTTCATAAATATATTCGTGTCCAATAGTTATCATAATTATACTTTAAGGAAATGTTATCATGATTTTGACAGAAGTCTAAATCTAATGTAGATTGAATTATAAACATTAGCTTTTTGAAAAAGATCGATATATTTTTAATACAATTAGTAATATAGTTTACAATTAATTTATGAATCACAGGGTTTTGGTGCATTCGGATTTTTTTCGATGCCTTTGGCAATGATTCCGGAACTGTATCCCAGCAAGTATGTAAACGTTTTGGGACAAATTACCAATGCTATCTCTCTGTTGAGCAGTTTTGTAATCGTACAATTATACCCAACGATGGTAACGCATGATAGAAATGCTACTATTTATTTTTACTGCGTAATAGCTATCATAGCTACTGTTTTTCTAACGATTACGTTACCGGAGACACTGGGAAAAACGAAAACACAAATAGAAGAAGCCTTTAAGGACAAGTTGAAGATAAATGAAACTTTTAAAAAAATTGAAGATGCATGCTAAACGTATGCAACCCTTTGCTGAAGCAATTTGTGCAATTTGATATAAAGTAATTTCATAATTTAACAAATATGTAATATGAATGCATTAATTGCGAAACAGATATTTTTTTGGAGAAATAAATGATTACCGTCAATCTTTATTAGTGCTGATGAAAATTCAATTATTTACTGAATCTGTATGTTCCAGAATTGTAGAAAAAAAAATTAGTTCAAAGTATATTACAAAAATATAACCAATATATAAGCGAAAATTAATGCAACCGCTACCCACTGAACAAGTTACGTAGTTATATGTATATACATTTATTATATGTTATAAAAACGCAATTATTTATAAAGAATTATATATTAATTAATATCTTTAAATAATTTGTCGGTTTAATATTGGAATTATATTCTCTTTTTAAAAATTCAAGTTATTTTCTTATATTTTAGAAAATAGATTTTTGAATATTTTTCTCTGAGTCTGTTAAAAATGAGGTATTTAATAAGAAAACTATAATTATAGTTATTTAAATTTTATAGTTTTATTTTGATATTTATTTTGTATAATTATTATCTAATTATAATATTCTTTCCATCTGTATAGCTATAGTAGCATGTATACAGTATATACATATTATATATATATATATATATGTATATATATATATATATATATATAGAACTAATACATAAGTATATCTTAAGATTCACCATTTTTTTAAATTAAATTTTTCTTTTTCGCGTTATACTAATAATGAAATAAATATCTCTATTGTATTAATATGTATATATATATATATATACATATTAATACATAATTTATATATAGTTTTAAAAAAAGGTGAATCTTAAGATACTTATGTATTTGTTTTTAATCATTTCGCTGTAAAAAAATTATTAACTAAGCTATAATTTAGTCAATAAGCAAAGTTATTACTAGTTTAACCACTTGACTGGTATATGACTTGATTGGTATATGCGCGCAGCAAACAAGACACATGTTTATAAGATTTGAAATGTATTTGTCGATTTATGAATAACACTTGCATTCGTCAGATATTGAATAATATTATAATTCACTAACTACACGCAATTGTTCTTTTCATATTATTTTCCATAAGAATATTTATATAAAAATTTTTGAAAATTATAAGTTTCTATATTATTTAGTGATGCATTATTGTTCACAAATTCTTACGTTATCAGTACATTAAGTTCTGTAATTAAAAGTGTATATATATACTTTATCGCACAATAAGCTATTTGAACTATCGCATAATTATGTCTGCAATAGTATTGGTAGACAAGTGAATGGTCTTAACTTATTTCAACAACCTAGGTGTGTGGCAATGCACATCGATAGGGAATTTATCGCGCGGCGTTTTTTTACTTGATAAAATGAAGTTAAAAATAACCGTTAGACATGTGCAAAAAATGTGGTATAGCACAACCATTTCTTTCTTTCGACAATTTTCAAATAAAAATTTTTTAATCGCTTATATATATATATATGCAATTTTCTTTTCGAAACGAACGGAGCACTTCCACATCTGGAATCTGAGTAAACTATTTTTTTTTTTACTGTCAGGGATCTCAGAGATTCCCGTACTTGTACTTTTTGGCACAAAATGCGGGAATGACGAATTCGATATAAGATATTTTAAAAGTACAAGTAAATGTATTATTAATATTATTATTGATATTATTATTGATGCTTTATTATGCGACAAATTCTCCCTGTTATCGGTGCAATAAATATTATAAATAACAGGGCACTTAGTCACGCGATACGTTTCTTGAATTTTCACATAATTATTTTTGTAATAATATTGGTCGACCATGAACAAGTCGGTGGTCTCAACTTTTAGCACATCGTGCAACAATACACGTAACGTGTCGATAGCAGAATATGTTCGACAAGTTAAGCAACGCACACGTCAGACATGTGGATCAGTTTAAAAAGTGGATCAGTTTAAGCGCAACTTGCAACAGTATAGCAAGACTTGTTGAAAGTTTTAAGCTGATCCTGTATTTTTAATTAAAAGGTCAGCAGAAATTGGCTTAATAAGATAGACGTGTTAATCACTGTGCCAAACTGTTAAATTTTCAAATGAATGCTGTTACAAGTGAATAATTGTATTCTAACACAATAGGAAAGTTTTGCAGTTGCGTTTATTAATGGTAGTTTCACATTTATCTTAAATGCAACTTTAAACCACAATTTATTCATAATGTGCTGTCATCCATTGTCCAATAAATCATTAGTCTGTGTTATGATCCCACTAAGCGTAACATTATATAATGCAACAAGTTAAATAGCCACGTGCACGTAAAACATATATATATATATATATATATATATATATATACATAAAAGTGGGTTAGTTCAAGCGCAACTAGTAACAATATAATAAGACTCGATGAAAGCGATGATATTAAATATGTGCTCACAATTGCATGTGCGAAAACAAGTGCTTCTTTTGGTATGATATTTAGATTATTATTTAAATATATTTAATAAGAAGAAGATATGAAATAATCTATACTTAATGTTGTTTATGACAAAATATATACGAGACGGTTTTGTGAAAAAATTTTTTGAAAATGGCTGTGAATTTATGCTACTCATATAAAAAACAGAGTTGATTTTAACACAATGAAAATGAATACTATGATAATATTATATTTATTATCTACTTCCTGTGCATATTCTGTTGCAGATATTCTACGCTTGTATTTGCACGCTAGTTTTTATTAGTACAGGAGCCGTTATAGGATACTCAGCCGTAACACTTCCAGTATTAACTAGTAACACATCCTCAATAACTTTAAATGCAATGGAGATACCTTTTTTCGGTAAACGTTTTTAATAAAAGTGTTTTTAATAATAGTCATTATAATTAATGTTTTGATAGAAACGTATATTATTTGCCGTTACAAAATATACTTATTTATATTAATAACTGTTATTAAGTAGTTATTACAACATTCAGTATTTAAGATTCTTAATTGCTGATAATGATAATAATAATACAAAATTTTTCTAGATTCTTTTTATTTTGTACATGTTGCAAAAATTTATATTATATGTATATACATTTATATTATATGTATATACACAAAATAAAGAAAATAAGAGATAGAGTCATATACATAATTCAAATAATAAAATATTATTATAAAATATTAAAAAATATTTGTTTTGTAAAATACACTTATTTATAATATTGAAAATATTTTTGACTCTAGTTTCCATTATAAACATCTCCGACATCATCGGTAGTATTGTTGGTCTTATTATAATGAACTATGGAAGACGAAGTACCATGATGATATGTGGTATTATTTTTTCTTTGGGATGGATTTTGATTGCGAGTAGTTATAATGTGATACAGCTCTTTGTGGGCAGATCGCTAACGGGTAAGATATTCGTCAAATCAAAATCAGATTCTTTTCTTTATTATGTCATTTCATATCTTTGATTAACACGCCCGTATTTTTTTTATCGAAAAGCGATATATTTAACAGAAACTTACTTTTCATCAAACAGTTTCAAAGATATAAAGACTGAGATGCAATTTCAAATGTCTTGATATATAAATTATAAATAATTTAATTTTCTAATAAGAAAATAATTGTCCAAGTTATAAATTGATGCAAAATTTGTATCCTGATATTACATCTTATAGAACGCTAATCAGTTTTGAACGTATAAAAGTTAAGATGCAATTTCAATCGTTTCGATAATTCAGTAAATAATTAACTAATTAACCACAATGCATGAGAAAGTATGTAAATCATGCAAATTGATACTAAATTATAATTCTAAGAATGCATGTGTCGGAAAATTTTTTCTAAATTTATCATTTTTAACTATAAACGACTTGGATATACAATAACTTATACTTGTGTATTATCCCATAAAGTTGTTTGTTGATTGATTAAATTGTTGGCATAGATACAAAATGCAAGCGTCTTTTACAAACTACGCAATTTTCATTTATGTAAAAAAGAAAACAGATTCTTCTCTAAACTGGCTATTTGCTTAATAACAAGGCAAATAAGAACAATCCGTATCAATTAGGAAGTCTTTGGAAATTTTCAGGAATTGCTTGTGGTATTGCCATACCTTCCTTTATAGTTTATTTAGCAGAAATCTCTATAGTGTCATGGAGAACAGTCGTTACGATTATTCCAATTGTAGCGGCAAACTTTGGACTTTTGATTGTTTACCTTCTAGGATTTGTTATACAGGCAAGAGCATTAAGTTGTTTGAAATAATTTTGTATTAATAAGAAAATTACGATACCTTTAATAACGAAACTAAATAATTAAAATTTAAAAAAAAATTTTTTTGTGCATAAAAATCGGTTGCTACATTTGATCTTATAAATATACAAAATTATCTATACATATAAATAAAACGTAAGATAGTTACTTTAATTTCTATATATTCATATGTATGTACATACATATACATATGTAATATATATTAATGAAATATACATATATATACACATAATATATTTAATTTACATTTAGATCTTATTTTAGATCTTATTTAAAAATTTATATTATTTTAGGACAATTGGAGATTAATAGCAGCATTTTTTATCATACCTTCAATATTATTTGTGCTATGTAATATTTTTTTCATCCACGAGAGTCCTGGGTGGTTGCTCTTGAAAGGCCGGAAGGAAGAAGCTAAAACAGCTTTACTTCATATACGCGGTCTGCATCACGAAACGATAGAGTTCCAGAAAGAGTTTGCTGAACTGATAAAATATATCGAATTGAGAAACAATTTAGAAATATCTTGGAATTGTCAAATAGACACTTCCACGAGTAAAAAGACCGGACAATGGTCGTTTCATTTGAATGCATGGAGCATGTTAAAGAGTATCCGAAGAACATTCCTTTTACCAGAAGTGTGGAAACCGTTTGTAATACTGAATGTCTACTTTTTTTTACAAAAGTTTAGTGGGGCATATGTGATTTTATTTTATACCGTCGATATAGTCTCGGCAGTCAACATCATAATAGATCCCTACTTTGTCACTGTCATAGTAGGAATAATTCAACTGGTAGGAAATGTGATCTGTATGTGCTGTAGTTCGAGGTAATTATCATTGTTGCCCTGTACATGGCCTACAATCATTATGCGATATAAATTATTATTTATCTACGTAATATATGTCACCCCTGATACCCGATATCATGACGTCTTATCCTTTCCGCTGCATCACTCCTTCAAATTCAAGTTTTCTTTCTCTTACGCCGCTGCCAAATATTTTAATTCGTTTTTTTTTTCACCCGCTTTTCCTCCTCCTCCTCCTCCTTCTTGGCCTCTTTTTGCGCCACGGCCTTTATAAACTTTATTGTATCCAGCGAATGGTAGCTTTCTTTCCATTCTCGCCATTCGGCCTCGCATCTGATTTTATCGAATTTTACTCTATTTTGCATTCTTCTGTGTACGCTTTGTTTCGAGAGCTCGCGCACAAGTTTCTCTGTTCAATTTTAAGTTTTCTTTTGTTAATCATGTATACTTTTTTTTGTATCTTACGTTTTCGGATAGGCACTACAAGCAGCGTTACTGACGCCTCATCTTTTGTGTTCTTTGTAAGTTCACGATTACAAAGTTACACAATATATATATGTATATATATATATATATATATATATATATATATATATATATATAATATGTGTGTCCATAAATTTAGAAGTAAAAAATTAATATTAGCTGCGCAAAGAATTATTAATAATAAATATGGCAAAACGGTAATTGTAATTATAAAACGCAAATGAACGCAATATGAAATTCTTCTCGCTTTAAACTATAAATAGCTATTGTAATTCTAACATTTTTTATACCAAAAACTTTGTTATTAATCTGTCCTACTACTGAAATATAATGCTTATGCGGAACACTTGTTACAATATATTGGTTCAAATTAATAACGTTCCGAGAAACTTCTATGATAAACTTCGAAATTTTAGAATTGGCCGTCGACCCATTTCGATTGTGTCAGGTGTTGGTATGTCAATCTTTTTGACCGCCTTATCAGTGTACCTGCAATTTTTCGAGAACACTGACGTTGCGACTGTACCCCTCGTTTGCATCCTCTTCTATGTGGTAAGAAAATAATATTTGCAAGAACATTTCGTAGTGTCTTGTCAAATAGTTACAATTTTGTTTTAATAAATTAGTATTATGATAATAACTTCAACATAATTTTAAATTCAATATAAACTTTAGCTTCTTGAAAGAATTTTGAGAAAAAAATCTGATGTTTACAATATTTACTATAACTAGCTATAATGTTCACTATATTAATCTATAAATTGCAGGCATTTGCAGCATTCGGATTTAATTCGATTCCTTGGTCGATGATTCCGGAAGTTTATCCCACACAGTACGTAAGCGGTATCGGACAGCTTACTTCCTTGAGCTCCATTTTGTACGGCTATGCGGTCCTACAATTGTATCCAATAATTGTAACGCAAAACAGAAATGCTCTCATTTACTCCTACTGCATAACATCTATCGTAGCTACTCTTTTTGTAACGATTGCGTTGCCGGAGACACGAGGAAAGACGAAAACACAGATAGAAGAAGAGTTTAGGGGCACATTGCCGATAGAATGCCGAAACATTTAGGAAAATTGAAGATGCATAATAAACGGGTGAAGCAAGCGGACGGTAAAATGTTGCTGGCAATTATCGTTGAGGCAATTAATGCAATTCGATATAAAAAGTGTGAGAAATTATAAATGATGTAAACGCGTCTCTGACCTCTGATGTAAATTGCAAAATAAGTATTTCTTTGGGAAATTAATAATCAGCATTAATCTTAACATCGGAACTCATGAAGATATTAGAATACTAATAATTGTTTTCTAGAATAAATAAAAAGAACTACACATGCTTTGAGGATATATTACAATCGAGACATGAGAATAATGACTAACATGAGTCCGCTATTGATTGAATATATTACGCATTCTGATAACAAATATGTATAATAATATATATATATGTGTGTGTGTGTGTGTGTGTGTGTGGTACATATACATACACATACACGGGTAGCGAGTAGATGCTTCACCGCGATCCCGGCGGAAAAGTAATCTGCTTCAGGACTAGCGACCCTGACCCATGCGAGCTCTTGGATTTCCTCACCTCCTATGTCCGAGGAACCATGTCCAAACCCTATTCCTATCCATACTACATTTAGCTTTTTTATCATATCCTATCCAACTTCTATCAACCCATATTTGCGTGATAGAGTAAGGCTAAAATCCCCGCATGATGATATACATTATATTTCAGTTATCAGAATGCTGCTAAATATTTATAAAGAATTACGTATTAATTTATATTTTTAAATATTCTACTAGTATAATAATCAAAATTCTTTCTCAAATTTAAACAAAGATTGCTTTTTTTAATATGGTATACGTTTACAAAGTAATTTTTTTATAATTTTGTTTTTTTAGGTCTGTTAAAGATCAATTGGTCAATAGAAATTAAAATTACAGATTTTATTTAAATCTCTATTTTGTATAATTATTTTTCAAATACAATATTCCCTTTGTCCTGTAACAAAGTATATAATCGCAGCTATAATACAATAAAGATACTTATTTCATTATTAGTGTTGCGTAACATCTTGAAGGAATAAAATTTAGATTAGAAACATGTTCGTCACTTTTTCGCTGCATAATTATTTTGCTGTGGTGAAAGAAGAAAATCACTAATTAAATTATTTAACTTACTCAATAAACAAAATTAGTATCACGCTCTTAATTTGCTATTTGATCGGGGCAGAATATTGCAATAAATTGGCATCATTTCTATTAAGCTTATGTTCTATCAACACAGTCTGCCCACATAATTTGGATGTCAGTAGAAACAGAGTAAATTTGTCATTTCGTAAAATTCATTTAATTATATTTTCAAATTAAAAAAAAATAAATTATGTTCGATTTTTGCATTTAATCTGCCATTACATTTCTCTAATTTAGATTTATTTATTTCTGCTGATATTCTGCCGACAAAATTTAATAATAAATTATATGCAAAATTTTTTCACCATTTGATTATTTGGGTTAGTTATTTAATCTGATTAATTTGAATGTGTACACGAGTAGCGAATCAACTAAGTTTTATAAGTTGTCAGCTTTAAAAATTTCAACTGAAATAATTTTTTTAATAAAGATTTTTCTACAAAACAGTATTCATTAATTATTAAAATATTAATTATTAATTGAATCATTAATCATTAATTATTAATTATTAAAACATTATTAAAGTAAAAAAGGCATTATTGCCTATATATAAAATAAGAAACGGTACGTTGTGCAATGTAATCGTCAAGTATACAAATATAAATTATTTAAAACGTAAAACAGAGAAACATTATTTTCAATTATGTAAGTATATATAAGATAATTATGTAATTTTTCTTTAGATATAAAAATTACATAAGATATTATTTAAATAACGCTTGCACTATACTATGAAGTACATGTACGTACATTATAATTACATATTATGTAAAAATATCATTTATCTGTTATTTCAAATAATTTTTGTTTACATTACATCATTCGATATTCACAAACATATCTTCAAAAGTATAATTTTCGTAAGTTTGATTTTCAAAGCTGTCGTCTCACTGCTCGCGTACACAATCACTTAAATCTCATATGCATATGTGTTTTATGTATTGTACAGTTACAATGTACAACATACATATATTGAGTAACTGGAACATTTTGCATTTTTAAAACTAGTGCAATCAAATAACGTTGTTCATATATATACAAAAGTATTAATACATATTTACAATTTAAAAGCTAAATTTTTGGTCGCACTGTAAACATAAAACATTGCAAAAGAGGAATTAAAATAAAATGTAGAAATCTATGAATCGGAAAAAAATGTATATACAGTTTTGTATCGTAAAATATTTAACAAATGTTAATAAATCTTTATAAAGTATAAGTTTCTGTTATTTGGAAGTGATCGACGTAGCGTCTTGAAACTCATTTTGTGTACACAATTTTATCTTATAAAGTTTAATTATAACTGCTACCTAGTATATGATCCATGTATGTATATAATATATATATATATATAATATAATATACACGTATATGTATAATATTCTGTATGTATATACACGTGTTTCCTTTAAGAAAACAATTCAGCCTAACTTATCTTGATACATTAACTTATTGTTAGCCTAACGTTTCCCTTATACGTTACGAATTTGATAACTAAACTAACTATCTAGATGCTAGTGTAAATTGTCACATGCAAAATAGCAATATTAATTACATTTCGTAGTCATGTGATCAGACTGAATTATTAAAATCCTTCAAGATATTCTTTAAATAGGCTTAGCAATGTAATTAGAATCTATCATCACCTATGCCTCTTTTCCAGGTTTTTTTAACAATACAAATGTCGGCCAATTTGTAACTTTTAAAGAGTTTAAAAATTAACAACTATAAGATCATACTTTAATACCAGAAGGACTGTGGCACCGGCCTGGGTGGCTGTTGAAAGCTCTGCGCAGCATAAGGGCTAGCAAAAGCTTGATGGGGATGAGCGCTGTAGGCATGAGGCTGTTGCAGACTCGTCGGCGGACTCGATAGATTGACTCTACTGCCGCTGGCTGCAGTGATTGCGAGATTCCATGATGGCGATGTAGTTCCTTGACTAGTCTGTTGCTGCGTTTGCTGTTGCTGTGATTGCTGCTGCTGCTGCTGCTGAGGAGGTGAAACCGAGCTGATCGGGAGTTCCGACGAGGCCAGTTGATCGGGAGCGGATGTCGAATTGCCCGAATTCGGACCCATCATAGTGACGAGGGAGTTCGGAGGCGGCGGTAACTGATGATTGCTCGTTTGCTGATAGCTGGACGATGTGGAGGCCGCCTGGTGAGTCATATGAGCCGTCGTTGCCGAGGCCGGCGATAGCACCGATAGATTGGGATAAGTCACCGTGGCCGGAAAACTGTAAGTCGAAGTCGATCCGACAGACGAGGGTAGTCGTGTCGCGGAGTCCGCCAATTGGTGACTCACTGATGCATGATGCGATGAATACAGTTCGGAAACTGAAAAAGGTAGGACTGATCATCTCTTGTATTACGTTTCATCGCAAAGTTAAAGTTAAATAGAAATGATATGCCCAGCAAACGAAAATAAATTCAAATGAATTGAAAATTTTAATTCATTATAATTTATTTGATTGTGAATTGACGCTTTAGAATCTAAAGATGCATTTATGTCACTATATTATATTATTTCTGGATTCAAATAAATTGAAATGAGCTATTCATCATGTTGAGCTCGGATGTATTCATGTTTGTATTATTATTTTTTAATTCAAATAAATTGAAATACGAAATGAACTATACACCATGTTGAATTCGGATGTATTCATGTCCGTATTAGTTTTTTATTCAAATGAATTCGAAAAATCAGAAGCGCCAATTCGGAAATGTCAAAATAAATTCATTTCTATCCATTTCAATTAATTTTCGTTTGTTGGGTGTGTTTTTATTTTAGCTGACATAACATACCTTGACCGGAAGAGAACGCCGCGTCCGGCAGATTCTGAGGATGCGGATGCGGATGAGGATGCGGATGGCCTGGCGGTACGGGCGCTCCCGCGTGAGGATGAGGCGGTGCCGGTGGATGAATAACGTAACCGGTCGGATAGGCGACGGAACCGACGTATCCAGCGGACGTCGACGAAGAGATATGTTTCCTCAGTCTGGCTCTTCTATTGCTGAACCACACTTGGATCCTGGCTTCCGACAGTCTCGTCCTCTGGGCAAGCTCCTCCCTGACGTAGATGTCAGGATACTGTGTCTTCTCGAACGCCCGTTCCAACTCGTCCAGCTGATGAGCCGTGAAGGTCGTCCTGCTCCTGCGCTGCTTCCTTTTCAGCGTGATCCCCGGTTCGCTCTCGCAATCGGATCCGGAACTCGTTTTTCCTACAAAAAGAACGTATTAAAAATCAGAGTAGAATGAGGTATGATTTATGCATTCATTTATGTAAGAGTCCCGTAATATGCAATTTAATATCAATTCTTGAAGAGAAAATTATATCGAACGCAGCTTTGCTATAATCTTAATCTGTATTGTGTTACAAATTGTAATCACATTCGCAAGCTGTCCTAACGACTAGAAAACGTCTTTTAGTTGGTTAGTTTTCTTAAAATCTGCGAGAAGATTAGATCATAAAATATGAAACGCTGTCATCTACGAGTTTTTGAGCGACAAAAGAAACTAAAAATAACGTAAAAAGATTATACATGATGGGACGAGGTAAAATGCCTTTGATAAAAATGCCAAATCGCCAGCGAAAACGAAAAGGTAGATAGATCGAGGGAGACTGCGGATGTAAACATGTTGATCGTATATCGAGTGTGAAATAAGCAGTTGGCACGAATTCTGCGCGATGCTCTTTGACATTAGCGGGATGGTTCTCCAAAAGTACTGTGAACGAGCAATGCGAGCTCGCATTAAGAAGATGCAGCTAAACTCCGCCGTTAGAATACAAATATTTTTCTTGTTGCAGAAATCCGCAAGAACCATAACTCCATTAACATGAATTAAATTTTTCAAAATTAAATCGCCGATGATAATCTTTGTTAAAAATCTATCTCGAAGAGGAGGTCGTATTTTTTTTTGTATGTCACGTTATATCTTATTAATTTAAAAAGACTCTTTCCTAATAACTTTGCAACGCTTATATCGCTCGATTACGCTTGTCTACTACGTGCGCCCGATTACGCTCCAGTTCTGAAAATAGGCGTTCTTTCGCGCGTTCCTAGCCGCGAGGAAAGCACGTGATGCACAGACGTTGAAGACACTTTGGAGACTTTTTGCTTCCGCGTGCGCCCCGCGATGCAATCCGTCGCGATGTGCATTTCGGGATTGTCGTCAGTTTCTCGGGGGCTCAAGTTTACACGGCGCGCGACTAATCGGGCGACGACGCCTGACGCCGGGACGGGCCACGTTAATGCAAATTCGACACGGGCTCTATTCCCGGCCCGTCGTCGTGCCTTTTTTTCATCCACCTCCGCCTTCGGGTCATTCCGTTCTTTCTCTTTCTTTCTCTCTCTCTCTCGCTTTCTCTCCGTCGTGTTTCTTGAATTCACCGACACCTATCCGCACGCGGATGGAAATAGTGCGAGCGACGTGGTCCAACAAACCTGAGGTCGTGATCGTGCCCACGTCCACGTGCGATGAACGATCAGAAATAACCACGCCAGGACTTTCGCCTCGTAGGCAATCACTTCCTTCCGACGAAACGCAAAGACAAAATGTTTGAATATTGATCGAATGTCGAGGGATAAAAATAAAGCGATCGAGAGAGAGAATTTATATTGATGCCTTGGATCTTTCATTCAGGTATAGATGCTCAGATATTTCGACTGTTGCTCGCACATACTGGCGATTTATATTTATTTACATATTCGTACACGGAAATAACTACTATAGTTATTGCACTAATATTTTTTGTGTTTGGAAAAAAAATGTACGTGAATTTAAATTATATTAATATTACACTGAATGCATCTATTAAGATATGCTCATCAATTCTTACAACGGTTCTCACAATCGTAGTTCTTAGAATAAATAACATTAGAATATTCCTTACGTATTGATTCGATTGTTTCAACCGAAAGATTATGTTAATATAGTTTGCTGAATAAATAGTGTGATTGAAAGATTTATAGGATATAGCTGAATGGTATAGCACTGAGAATTCAGTTCCATTGCAACAGTAGAAGACAGTAAAGTGTACCTAATGTGTACGTTATCCTTTTTAGCCAATAAGCCAATAAGCTTTATCTTCAAAGTATAAGATTTGAAGACTCTATTTCTATTTTTAAAGATAATATTCAAAAGAAAACATTTTTAGATTACAGTTTATATCCCAGTCAGCGAAATGTTCGCAATATATGCGACCCAGCGAGAAATGAGTCATCGAATCGATCTCGAATTGACATCGATACGATGATTTCGACGTTAATTCTACATATATTCTATGTCTTAACAATTCTCATAACATGTATCTAACTAATGTATATAAATATGGTTGCAAGAACCGTACCTAGAAATAATCATTACGGTTATAACATCCATATAATAGCTACAATCGCTAAAGTTGGGTCAATCATGTAAGTGATCATAGATCACTTCCAGAATACTATGGTTTCTATAACTTTTTTTATATATAGATACGCGAAACGTATTATTATTCTATTGTGACAATCCTATAACTTTTCTCCGTATAAGCTTTTCGTTTTCCCCGATCTTAATAATTATTTATACAGATATAATGTGTGATAATATCAGGTTAAGGCATTATATATTTTACTAGCTACTTTCAAATGATTAGAAGTATCTGAAAATTTGTATCGAGGCTTGTATCTCCGGCATTACGCTTGATTGAAGATCGGAGCATTTGCATTTGAATCCAACTCCAAATTTTATCAATCAGTACTTAGATTCAGATATTTTTACAAAAATTATTCACACGTTGGCGTCCCTTTGTCACAATAAAATTTATTAATTGTCTCTTTGAAAATTTCTATAACACGCTCGTTTTGTTTAGAGAAAGAGAGAGAGAAAGAAAGGGGGAGGGGTGGGAAGGGGAGCTTCTCGCTATGTTCCGCCAAATCATTCTGTCTATTTTCATTAATTCACTATTTGTGAATCAAAAGAATTCGCATCATTCTATGCTTGATATGAATTAGGATTATAACCGACATATGATTCTCTTCATGGCTCTCTCAATGCTCTATTTTTACATATTTTACATATTTCAGATACACATTTTTGTGTGAAAGTAAGATTTTTGAAATTGAAGAATCAGCACATTGTAATTATATGTAAAGTTTGCGACGTGTCTTATCATGTTCTTGAGAAATGTTTAATTTAAACGACGTCGTTTTGCAATGAAAAAAATCGCTGTGAGTGATAATGGATTTACGTGACGACTCCGTTCTAGTGCCAGTCATTCGCGGCAGAACTAGTAATCATTCACCCCGAGGCTAATATCAGGTTCCGAAAACTTGAAGAATCACTAACCGGTCGAGGGATATAATTTCTGATGCTCTGATCTCTTTCTTTTTTAATTTGCTTGCGGATGGAACTGTACATCGTCCACGAATAAGTAAAAACAAGATCTCACGAGGATCTCGCGTGATATCTTTATTGAACTCCGAAGTGAAAATGTAAGCGTAATTCGTATTTTATTGCCGCACTTTCGGCGTGAGAAGCCGTAAAGGGAGAAACAAAATTAAGCGTGTAAAGTTACAAATACAAAAAAAATCGTACATATTGCGATTTTTTTTATCTGATCTCATAGGCATGCGACTCGATTAAAGAGCCAGCGATATATCCCTCATTCAATTATTGATATTCTGAGTGTTTAACCACAAATCAACTTTAGTAAACAGAACACTTGCTTACTGTGTTATTAATGTGGTTAATGTGTACGACATGCGAGATACGCCTTCGTCATTCATCTTCGTTCTTCAACCCCCAACGTTCGTTAGAATGTCGCATACCTTCCTCCGTCTCTCTTTCTCTCTCGCCCAGTTGACACCCCTCGACTTACACGCGCACTTATAGCGTGCGACGCGTTTCATACGCGAGAAAAACAATCCGACACGTTTCGCCGAACAAAGGCGTCACTTCATCTCGACAGCTACGGCAGCCCACGACTCGTACGCCCGCGGCTTCGTGGGCGTTTAATAGACGGTGTCCCTTTTCATTCCTCACCCCACCCCACCCCACTTACGAGGTCGTGTTATTTCTGCCCCAGTTTCTCTATTTTTTTCGACGGGCGCCCGACCGTCAGAGCGATCGACTTACAGACGCAAGAATCCTCCTCGCCCCTCCTCTCAACCGTGGTCCCTTTCATCTTCGCCGGCTTAGCAGCTCCTCAGACGGTCCCAAGATGAATTCGTGTCTGTACACAATTCATTTGTCTTGTCAGCAGAGTAGGAAGACGTCCCTCCTCCCCCTACCGCGGTATACCCAATTTGTATCCGTGTTTGGTGGGAATTTCTCTCTGGGATATATAACATAGAGAAATTCTAGATCTCGTCCTTCGACTTCCCGCAAGTGTGGCATTCATTTATCAACATCTGTCAAACTGACATTTCAGATATGTATCCAAACTTGCTGAATCTTCTTAATTTTCATTATCGGCCATGCACATTTTGATTGCTGTAAAAAAACTATACAGCTAAAGTCTCTTCAAAAATAATCTTTTTGGCCTTTATGTATTTTTTATTTTATACTTTTTTTACTAAAGAAAGTGAAGAGAAAGAGAGAGAGAGAGAGAGAGAGAGAGAGAGAGAGAGAGAAAAATCCTGATTCATATCCAGTAAAGCCGGTAAACGTACGTCCTTCGTCGGTCGTTGGTTTTCTCGAGGACGATCGACATTCGCACGCGTGTAAGACCCACGTTTTACGCGCAGCCTCCGCCGATACGCGGGCCTGCCTCGCGCGTACACACGTGGGCATGTACCGATCAGCGGCGAGAAAATTACAGAGCCCGCCGCGCCGGACGGTTGCGGCCGGTCCGGCTACTGGAGGGAGGCGCGGATCCGGCCGACGGCGGCGCACCGGAGGCGAACCGGCAATTTCCGAGACCGAGAAACGCGAGGTACGACCGATTAATACGCGAGCATTTAATTTACTCATTCACCGTTGCCCGAGCGTGCTTGTGAGTAGTGGGTCCCACACGCGGTGGTCCATCGTGTGGGCCAGGTGATGAGGCGTATGCGGCGCGGATGCGTGATCCTTTCACCGGCGCGAAATCCTCCGTGTTCGCGATATCCTAGCTCGAACCTTTTATCCCTAAATGGGTCAATAGTGGGCGTTCGGTGTACGCTTGCATACATTAGGGGACAATAGATATCATACGAGAGGATAATCGTTTTAAGATTAAAAGGTACGATCCGTGCGTGCTGATGTGAATAAACGAGCGATGGACCACAATTAGTATCAAGCGCTCTATCTCTTAGTTACTTAATATAAAATATCTTTACAAATTTTTTTTTATAACATTCACGATAAACTGAGTGGGATTGAATTCTGGACGGAAAAGTAAAGCTGAACGATGAAGCAAAACTACATGCATTCTTTCCTTCGAGAAGCAACAAATTTTTAAGCATTAGTCAGTCTTTGCAGGTAGTAAGTCAAATTCAAAAGATGTTGTTTTTGACGCCTAATAGTCCAATCGTCGTTTTTTCAGGTTCTCTCGATGTAAAGCTGTGTAAAGCACATGTTATTTTTATGAAATAATGTTTTGTGAAATCCGCAAGAAACGTGAAAAGCGACTGGATTCAATTTTAAGAGTTCGTCGCATAAGGAACGACCGCAGTCTCGGTCTCTCATGCGAGCTCAGTGTCGTTATAATCCAATTCCGTGCAAGGATATTCGACTTCGGGCCGATTCGCCGGCCGATCATCAATCTCCTTTAAGACACGGGAAGAAACTCAGGCAGCCGGGAGGGCCCGGATGGACACCCGCTCAAGAAATCCGCCGCCGCCATTAGCGCAGCTGATCGAAGAAATTTCAGAGAATTCGCGAAGCAGGTATTTTTATCGAAGCGACAGCGATGCGAGAGATAAGCTGTTTCGTTTGTGCCTTAAAATACAAGTTAATTCCGTAAAAGGATGTTAAATTTTCGTATCATAAAGAAATGTGTTTAAATTAATGCATTAAGATTTGGAGCACAGACCAAATTGATCTTCATCAAGTCCCTTTAACGCTCAGTTTCTAAAATAATTTTTTTGCGATAATCGAAATCTATTTATCAATTAATGAAACTTTCATGAAAATTTCATTTTCTCACGGAATATATAATGAATAAAATTTTATATTCCGTGTAATATTGCGTACTCTCTAAATTTTCTGGAGCGAAAATACTGCCACTCGGCCATTCGAGTGAGATTCACTCTAAAAGAGTGAAAATTCACTCCAAAAAAGTGAAAGTCACTCCAAAAAATTTAAAGAGCAATATTATATAAATAACTAATGTTCGGAGAAATACTTTGTGCCTTTTTTTTCTTTTTCTTCTCGAATATAAATTTTCCTGTATTTCCCGAGACGCGCAAGGTCTGTCCTCCGAGTGTCTACCTAACACTATGGATTTCTTTACTTGCTACACTAATGATTATTATGTGTGTAGCAATTGTTACTTGGGGACTTCTCACCGTCACCTAGTTTAACGTCGTCTTCGGAATCGCGACGGAGTAGTCGAGAAATTGCGGACACGCTCGGCGCGCTGGTCCGTTCGCAGATGCCCTCTTTGATCAGTCGATCCCTGATTTCCCACGAGAACATACCCGGGTTGTCGCGCTTGTACTCCTCGATTCTCGTCTCCACCTCCGGCGTGGCCACGCGCGGTTTGCTGCCACCGATGACTCCGGGCCTGATGCTACCAGTTTCCTGATAGCGATTTAGAATCTTCGACACGCATCCATGGGACACCCTCAATTGTCTATTCTCAGTGGGACGCGACAATAGACGAATCAGTTCAGATATCGTTTATATAAAACAAAAAAAAATCTATATTTCTACTTTCAAGAAGTTATCGTGAAATTATGTATATCGGGGAGGGTTCCTCGATTTGATACCGTACCTCGATATAACACACGGCCTGACCCCGGCAGCGGCCATCTCGACAATCTTCAATCTGACGTGATTAGGCAGCGGTCGTCCGTTGATGAAGATACCACCGAGCTGATTTACGCGGCCCTGGCCCGGTATTGATCCTATGTCTGCAACAACCGATACACTTCCTCCTTTCATCGCTTCCATTACTGAAATCCCACAAGTAGACATTACAAGTGACATTAAATGTTAATAACGGTTAATTCCTTTTCTGTTTTGATCACTTTCGCGGAGACACGCAAAAATTGAGAGATCCTTCAGCCCGAGCCTTTATTATTTACCGGAAGTCAAGAGAAGACGAAAGAGAGAGACAGTTGGCGAGGTGGTGGCGGGACGGTTATTGAACGGCGTATAAAGAGAGCAGTCTGAATTTATCGCTGCGCCACATGCTTGATTTAACTTCTTTCTCTCTTCTTCTCGAAGGAAAAAGAGAGAGAGAGAGAGCAAGATGAAGAAGGAAAGAGAGAGAGAAAGAGTAAGAGAAAAGGAAAGAGTTATAAGTGCGGGCGGCTGGAACGTATAAAGCGACCAATGCCGTAACTATCGATAAGTCCAATAAATCGCGGTGCGGTTTTATGACTCACAACAATGATAGCGTATAATTTGCTTGGCTTATTTAATTTCGCGATACACGACGACGATCTCGGCCCTGATCTATATAGAAAGAGGAACGCGCGCGCGCGGTCCAGGAAAGAATCTGTTGCTGCTGCCGATTTTTACCGGCAGCTTTTTAATGCAAATTTTAAAAAGTGAAGCAAGTAGCGCGACGCGATATGCGTTGTTACTTAAGCTAAATGTATAGAGTACTGAATTCTTCGTGGTCCATCTCCATTATTTTTGGCCTCCGATGTTTTGAAACGATGAAGTTACGATTGAGAGTAGAGGCGATATTAACGAGACGAATGAGCCTGTACAATTAGACGGGCAAAAAGGAGACGCGCAATCGCACGTTCGACATTACGGAAAAAAACGCGCTCGCTCATACAAGACGCGGTGTAATCGACGAAAAAAGGGGAATCTCAATGACAGCGCAACGAAAAATCAAATCGTCCAGGCGAGACGGCGATCGGCGCGTTTCGTTCGTCAACGGCGACACTTATTATATAGTTACAACACATTATGTGTATTGTTAACGTGATCGACATATTGGCTGTCGATCTTGTTCATGCTAATCGGATTTAAATCGATGTTCTAAGAGAGCGCACGTATGAAACAGAACGTCCTTGATTCGCGCGATCGCGTGTGAAAATTGCGCCAAATGGCTCATGTCGATAATATACGAGACTTAGCACAAATAATTTATTACGAATTGATTATATAATTATTTCTAATTTAGTATTCCCACGAAAATGTAATTCAATATCTCGCTCAGAAAAAAATATTTTTCATAGAGAGAACAATTAATAATGAGTCGTGAAGACTGAAAGAGACATATCCTTCTTCTCTCAGGTTTTCCGTAAAATTGACAAAAATATAAATGCATATAAATGTAAATGTACATTTTAATAACCATCGAAACGCCTGCACGTATTACTTGGTATCAATGCGCATTGACGCAGATTAAATTAATTCTGCGGTTTTCAACGCCCGCCGTATTGGCAAATTATTAATCCTTTAGAGAGCTCGCGCGACTCGAGAAGGAAGCGGATGATTGATCCCGCGGCTTTCACTTTTCCAATCCGGGTGCAAAACGTCGCCCGGTAAGTAAATCCTTTGTGTAAGAAAAACGCATTACCTCTCCCGATAAAAATAGCGGCCCGATCGCGATAAGTAATGTAACATTGTTGCACTTTCACAATTCGCGGCACGGCAAAGATATGGAAATGATGAACCGCCGTCGTTATCGCCGGCGTCGTCGTCATCGGGAGAGACGGGAAACGCGACCGGGTACGGTCACACGCTTTCGTTTGTAATTAAACGCATTTCCGCGTAAAGCGCACTTTGTCGCGCGAGACAAAGGGTAGGCGCAGGCTCCGCGCTAACGCGACCGCGGTAAAAAAAGCATCCGTCAGAAAAAGGCAACCGCTATCCGATTGCGCAGAACGCTTGCGTAACCGTAGCCATGCATCGCCGCGGGTGCAATCGATGCTCGAAAAACCGCGCGCGAGTGATCGCCGATAGAGCGCGAAAATGCTCGCCGCGCTGCCGCCGCGGAAAATGCCCGGTTTGATTTAATTGAACATCGTTTAATTAACAAATCCACGGAGAGACCACTAACTCGGAGCTTTTCGGCGCCTCTCGAGCGCGATTCCGATTTTTAACTTGAGACGCGCTTTCAAAGAACGAGGAAAAGCCCCACCACTCAACGCGCGCTCAGAAAACCGCGGCGCGTCTCATAAATCATTATAATGACGGAATCACGTAGGCAAAAGGAAAAAAAAAATCTTGCGCACTGCGATGAAGTAATTAATGATCATCATTGAAAACTCCTATGCGTGGATTTTACGGAAGCGCGCATTCGCGTTGAGTTGAGTGCTAATCGTCCGCCATCATTTACCGCCGTGATTTCCGCGAGCACACACGCTCTCGCGTCTCTCGCGTTTCCAGCTGGTAAATCATCAAGCGACTAATTACACGTACTAATTACGCTACGGGACACCGCACGTCTGGACACTTGACGAAGCGCGTTATTTAATTTTACAGATCTTGCTATTAAGCGTATCGTTCGCACAGAACAGAGTTTTTCCGTCTTCGTGACGGAACGACACATCTGCAGGACATTTTTTTGTCCTGAACCTTACACTTCTTTCCGTCTGCTGTTCTATAGGTAGCGCAAGATGCATGAATGTACTCGAAAGCTGAAGAATAATACGCTCAAATTTATGGTACAATAAGTGACAAGCTGAACAAAGCCAAATACACAAAGCAAAATTTATAAACTTCCTAACGGGATAGTTTTTTTACGTTTTCGAAGCAACAAACGATTGAATTACATAAATTTTGTAAAAAAATACTGAACGTAAACCATTGCCAGTCAGCAATTTCTTAAGAATACATAAATTCTAAGTCTCTTTTTGAATTTCCATGATAAAATTCCGGGAAGAACCAAGTGTGCATGATCGAGCGCTAAACGATTGACTGACGAGGACGAATAACACGATAAATAGACCCACAGATAAACATACACACATAAGCAAATAAATGTGTATAGTGTATACTGTACGGACTGCAAATATGTATAATGTGCTAAGAAAATAAAGCGAGAGAGAAAGATATAGAGAGGACTATGACAGAAATTATCTGAAGCGATTAAAATACACGGGAAATATATTTTCAACAACGCCAGTTTTGCATATATTTATGTCTTACGATAAATTATACAAGAATTCTTCTTAAAATTGTAAAATGTATTAACGGTCCCAGACATTTTTTGTCAATAAAGTCCCTTAATCTTCAGAGTGCACAAAAAGAGAAAAACGGTCTGTACATTTAAAACGTCAATGGGCCAAGGATGAAAGTCAAGAAGAATGAATGAATACGCGCCGTAGGAAACGCTCCATAATTTATCTTAGATGACTCGAAACTCTAATCGTTCTTTCGTTTTAGATAATTGTCAATGTCAAGCAGATCTCTTAAAGAAAAACAGAATTTCGTACATTTTGAAACTAAATTTTCACTAATTCATCTTTCAAGGTTACCAGATGAGCTTTAGTTCAATTAACTGATTTCAATTTTATTTTCATAATACAAATTTTATCAAGGACAAATAACGTACTTTTCTTATTTGTTGATAATAACATAATATCAAGGATCTTATCTTAATAATTCTTGTCTTTCATTGTTTCTCTTTAATATTGGAGTAAAAATGTAAAGTTTTATGTCTTGGATTACTCCACTTATATATGTAATATTTTTTAATCTTTCATAAATGAAAAAATTATGAGACTTGAGATTGTGAAAAAACAATTCTGCCGAAAAAAACATTATGGAAATAAGTGAGCTATTGTTTCAATATTTATTTTCATATACTAATTAACTATATGAAATTGATCATATGTTATTTCAAGTATGTCGATCGAACAATATTTGTGAAGCTCTGAAAGATAATGCGAATGTTATTCAGATCGTAAGACTATTGTAAAGCTAAATTATTTCCTAATTGCTTCAAGCTCTATGCATTCCCCACATCAAAGTTGACTTAAATATAATCAACTGCGATGGTAGACACACCTTGAAAGGGATATCCAGTAAAACATGGTCGCATCATCGAGAAGTTAGTCGTAACCGTCATTTCAGCCGAACCAAACCACTGCAAAATAGTTTCGACGAGTTCGCTTCGACACCGAATGTTGTACAAACCTCACTAAACCGCACCTCACTAAGCCCTTCGTAAAAAAAAGAAAACGATATCAAGCTGTCCTTTCTCCCGAAATAAATCTCACAAATGTTTCGTTTTCTCCCCCGCCTAATGTAGTTGCAATTCACTCGACGATCGTGAAACGGAGAACACGTAGACAAACACTAAACATACATTCTTGGAGGATAAAATTCTGGTTGTGGAAATCCATTGGGATTGCGGTTTGCGACCGTCGGGCCCAATCGTGATCATATCTTGTCTCCTCTCGATTTGAGTTCCGTCGAATGGCCGCGATCGCATTTGCGTCTGTTCGCACTTGGAAATGGATGTCGACTGATCGACGCGCTGATCCTGACTAAGTCTCATCGGGGATGGGGTACCAGGGTAACTAACGGCCAGGCACTCCCACCCAGCTACGGCACAGGTAGTTCTTTCCTCCTCCTCTCTTCCCCTGTGCTGCGGGGATATATCGCCTACTTGGACAGCTTGGACCTCGATGGAACGGCAAGACAGACCCACGGTCCTTGGCCACTGGTGCCCATCGTCGCCAACGACCAATCCTGGCACCGCCGAGGCCTTTCACCACGCCTCCGATTCACGCCCAAATGGTAACCAGACGATGGGCATCTTGGGCGACTTTATTGCCGCGCTTTTACGAGCATGCTCCGTACTTATACACCGTGTGCTCGTTGTTTCTCGATGAGCGCCACAAGCTGGATAGATCGATTCCTCTTGTCTCTCTCACATTTCGTTGCGAATTGATAATTTTTATTTGTTATCTAGTCAATCGCAATTCCAAGATCAAATATATTGAACAATTTTGCAAGATTTTCCAAAATTTTCTGTCAAAAGAGACCGATGAAAAGAAAATTCTCTCGCCACCGGCGAGAGAATTTCAAAAGGGGTGCCTGAAATTTGCTTCAAAGTTCTAAATAAAAGAAGATGGCAATAGAGTTTTGTACTGAAGGTGCCTTTTCATGCTGACGCTCGACGCTCATTTTTGGCGTCAAAATTATGTAATCATAGTTGGCTTGCACGAAAAGCGGCAATATCAAGTTTAACGTCAATCATATAATTCGTATATCTAAAATGTTCCGAACAAAATAACAACAGCCTTTGACTAAGCTGAGAAAATCCAACTTCTTTTTTTGACGCTAGCGTCAAAGTCGAAGTCACACGTGATTACCAAAAATTCAACATGTTGATTTCTTTACGTCTTACTGAGTTTTGATTAAGTTTTTCTGTGTGCCGTGGCTTTAACGCTAAAACGAGTGTCTCATGAATTTGCACCTTTCTATTTGCAATTATAATAACGTATTTAAAATCCAACAGCTAAATACTGAATTTTTGAAAATCAAAGATAGATGTAGCGACGAAAAAGTTTTTTTCTCTCGTAGAAACAATTTTACGTGACTTAACATTATAAATATTCTAAAAATTAATATAGCTGTAGAATTATTCATTTCTTTTTAACAAGTAAATGGAACGTGAAAAAGAATTATTGGGGCGGAAGATTAGATGTCGGATTGTGCGAAGAAAATTTCCGACGACTTAATTACAAGCGCGTAATGTCGTGAAGAGTGTTTTCAGCAAAATAGCGGCAGCAGTGGTCGCATCATTGCTTATGGAGCACGCAATTAAGGTAATGGGAGAAAACCCGGCGTGATCTTTTCACGCCGCCAGATTTCTGTGCGGCGTCATCGCTCGAGCACAGCCGGCTGTGCGCTTCTTGCCGCGCGTCTTCAAACCAAGCGATTTAGCGCAAATCGTCGGCGCGAGCGCGCGTAGTTCACCTAATCTCCACTGTCAGCTGTTCACGCATGATTGCAAATTACTCCAGGATTCTCGCCTTTTTTTCGGTCTCTCCCTCTCTCTCTTTCAGGAAGGGGTCGAGAGGGGAGGAGGCCCCGTTCTGAGCTATCGGGGAAATGACAATGCACGACTGAAACAGGATGCGACACAATAGCCGCGGCGGTGACGTAAGGCGGTGATCGATCGTTTTGGTTTCCCTTAGTAATTAACCACCTTAAATAATGTGAGGGTAGGTACAACTCCCCGGAAACTATTTCGATGATATATTCGACAATTTATTAACACAGCTTTGAAATACCCTTTGTACCCTTCCGCGTGCAGGACAAATCGATATCAGAATATTATTAATTCAATATATCTGACAAGAAGCACGTGGATTTTCCAACAATCGAACAATTGCTCGCTTTGAATACGAAGTGATTATCTTCTCGCCCACGTAAGCTGATAAAAATTCGGCGAGAAACGATCTTATCAAGAAAGTACTCCGTTAATAGCGGCAAGATAATCCAAAGCTACCAATTGATGAAAGTATCAAGATCGAGGAAATTGGATATTAATCGTGGAAATTTAAGAGGCTCCGTAACAATCGGCAGATATTAGGAAAAACATTAGTTTGTTTCCTCTATTGGACGCGACGCGGGATATCGTCTCGACCCCCCGAATGCAATGAGCAGGTTGTGTCACGTCGCTCGCAGTGACTTGGACCCCCGCGGATCGGGATACCCGAACATTCGAATACGAGGTCCTCAAGGTAACGCCTCCAACCAGCCTTCCGTTTGGCAGAAAGTTATGTTAGATAGCGCATAAATAGGGCAATAATAAACATTGATGAAAGCAATAGTACCGTACCCTCGGCCAAAACGAACGTCTTATTTTTTTCTCCCCTTATACTATTATCTCCCGTTCAATTGAGATTTCATGGAACGAATCGAGGGTTTCGAGTATGAATTTTTGGAAACCATAGATTACTATCCGCTATATTACTATTTTTTATTTGCCTTTTATATGTACTGCAGATAAACCTGGAAAGGCGTAACCAAACGTGTCATTACCGAAGGTGCCCCAATTCTTCACATTTTCAGCTTCCGATCGGTTCTTTTTTTTTACTGAAATGTCTTTCTCTCTCTCTCTCTCTCTCTCTCTCTCTCATATCCACACACACACACACACACCCACACACATACACATATATATACATACAAGAAATCAGTGTCTGTTTATTTATGAAAGACATTAAAAATCTAGATCTTCTCAAAACTTCCCCTTATACTCGATACCGGCCGCGTCCCGTGCTAAGATATTACAAAGTTCGTGCCGAGGAAAAGACGTTAATTAATCCCGGATACAATCACCAAAAAACCTTTGTTCGTCGTCGGTTTGATAATTTCCCGTGACAAAAAGGCGGCGTATCGGACGGTCTCAAGTGTGCCAGGACGGTAATGACGATCCGGCGTGTAAAAAGGCGATCGGCTGTGGTACGCGGGCGTGAAAGAGGAACGATATACATCGCTCTCTGATGAGCCAGCGAAAGAGGGCGGAGGCGAGAACCTGCAAACAGATGCAAATTGCGCCTCGGGACTCGATCCGCCTACCTGACAACGCGGACAGTAGTGACGTAGACCGTTACGCCGTAAATAATCTACCCCGTCCGAGCATTCAACCCCTTCTTCGTCTTCGTCTTCGTCGTCTTCTTCTTGTTGCGTCGCTTCCGTCGACGCTTTTCTATCGTACTCTACTGCGATGTCACTTGGTCGGGCAGGTCGGGCTCAATGCTTTTCAACAAGAAAGTATCCATAACTGAGATGAGAATGCGGATTTTGTGAATCACTAATCGGCTTTAGAAAATACGATTTATAGGTCTATACTTAATATTTGAACCGAGATACTTATTCGGGCAGATTTATAACAATTTATTGTTGATTTGCAAGTCATACAATTAGTACAACTTATACCATGAACTGTCCAGGTAGGTTAAATACTAAAAAGAGAATATCTTTCAGAATTCCTTCAAAAGCTACTTACTTTTGAAAATTTTTTGTCATTTTAGCATAGTATAATGACCGTAATTGTTTCAGACAAATAAAATGAACGATAAATGTTAGTAACAAAATATAAAATAATATACAAAACAAGATGATACAGTTATACTCGCGTTAATAATTAAATAACACGTCCGAAAGCCAAATACAAAATTACCGATGTTTGCCAGCGCGATTTTCAGGAAGGCCGCGCGCGAATCATCACGCGTGTGTCGGATCATTAGTAGCCAATTAATTAGTCTGTCAGGCGGCGTGTCTCCCGGCTGCAGTAATCGGTCTTCGTGTAAGCGTCGATTAACAGCGGGATGTAGTCTCAACGGCTGAGAGTAGTTGATAAATAACAAGCCGCGTCTCTCGCGCGGAGCAAGATTAATCATTTCGCTCGCGGGCAGTCGCCGTTGGAAGATTGCAAATTTTTCGCACGTTGTAAATTGGCGCGGAGTTACTAGATAACTCGTTTCAGGTCGCATCTCTTTACATTCTGTTAATTTCATATAACGATCACGTTATATCTAGCACTGAAAAACGTAACTCAGCATTTTGTATGTGTAAGAATGCAAAATGTTAATTGAAACGATTTTTCTTCTCGCAATTGAAAGAAACCGAAATGATAAAATCTTCATTCTACATCTTTACAAAAATTTAATACTGGAAATTACTTATTTTGAGTATTAAAAGCACTGTTCAATGCTTTTAATGCTCAAAATAAATAATTAGTCACTAACTAATATTAAATTTCAATGATAATGCCGAGGTATATCTTAATATTATATTAATATATTATATTAATAATAATATTCGTGTAAAGGACTGGTGCGCGGGACTTTTCGAGCGTGATAGAGTCGCTTCGCCGGGAAGACTTTAGATCCGTATCGGCTATAACCTTTCTAACTATTCACAGCCTTTGATGGGGAGGAAGTGGCAAAAAGCATTCGTAACGGAGCATTTTTTTAGACGTTGAAGGTGCCGATTTTTTGCTGTTAAATAACCTATTCACACATTTTTAGATTTTCCTGTTGGTAACGCTTGAAGGAATCTCAATGTATTACTCTTATACGACGATGTTGACAGATTCACAGCGGCGGAACTGAGGGAGTTTTTGAATTTCGAAGTCAATGTTGTCAGTAGTTAAATTTTTCGCAGTCTCAAAAGGACGGATAAAAAGAAGGAGCACCTCTGCTCCAGTTGGAATTTCTGAAGAAATTATATTAAAATATAATAAGAAAGATTTTAAACTATATATTTAACTATAACATATAAAATGTATTAGAGAAAGTGCAGTAGAAGCATATCTCTTTTAAATTAAATTAAATAACATCCATCAAAAATTTTAATACCTTCGGAGCTTTTTCACAATGTAAAATTTGAAGTATAATGTATTTAAACATTGTATCCGAGTTCAATTATATTTTCTCGTCTTATTGTTTAAGTCATTCTCTATAAAGTATACCAATATTGATGGATAACAAAGGAATCAAAATATATTGAGCTAAACATATT